GTCGGATTTCCGTCCCTTCCACCACTTCCACCAAGGAAACTGGGCCTTTTTGGTGCTAATTCCCATGTGGGTGGGATTGTGTATATTCTTGGATGCTGTGGGTCTCTCCAACGCACTCTCCTGTGAGGCTGAGAATCTCTCCCTGTCCCTCAACCCCTGCAGGTGTTTTCAATCAGTTTCCTGAGGCTCTATTTCCCAGCGCTGTGACCCTGGGTTGCACAGTCTGTCTCACTGCCCAATTTTGCCTGGTTTATCTGCGCATGCACGTGGTCTGGACAGCCAGGCGCCTTGTGCACAGTGCCTCACTTCACAGTCACGGCCTCGCTGGGTCTGCCAGCGCCTGTGTGCTTGGGATGCCTACGGGCCCATGATGCATTAAGCATCTCTTATTGTGCCACAACCCCTCTCTGCCCAGCTGCCCGCCTCCCCGCCTCCTACCGGTCTGGATGAATGCGTATATTTTAACTCCTTGATTGTCCAACTTCCATATAGTTCAATTTTATGTAAGATCTGGTTGTTATCTTGTTTCTAAATCGTTGCTGACTTTATTTTGGTTGTGCGAGGAGGTGCAGTGTGTCTACCCACACCTCCATCTGAAGAAGGCCCTTTAACGTCCCTTATAAGGCAGGTCTACTGGTGATGAACTGCCTAAGCTTAGCTGCTGGGGAAAGACTATTTCTCCTTCATTCCTGAAAAGCAGCTTTGCTGGGTACTACTCTTGGTTCACGGATTTTTTCTTTCAATATCTTGAATATATCATTCCTCTTTCTTCGGCCTGAAAAGTTTCCGGTAAGAAATGCACTAATACACTTATGGAGGTTTTTTACACATAAGTCACTTTTCTCTTGCTACTTTTAAAATTGTCTCTTTGTCTTCGACTTATGGACAATTTAATTATCAAGTGACTCAGTGTAGCCCTGTTCAGTTTCTACCTATTGGGTCCATTGGGCTTCATGGAGCTGGAAGTCTATTTTGCTCCCAGAACATGGGAAATTCTCAACCATTATTGTTTTAAATAGACTTTCCATTTCTTTTACTTTTTTCCTTTTGGAATTCCCATAATGCTCTTATGTTTTACTTGATAATGTCTCATAAATCCTGCGGTTATTCTTCACTCATTTACATCCTCGGTTTATCCTCTGACTGTATAAATTTAAATAACGTATCTTATAATTCCCTGATTCTCCCTTCTGCTTGACTGAGTCTGCTGTTAACATTTTCTATTAAATACATTAGTGCAGTTATTGTGTTCTTCAGCTCTAGGATTTTAGTTCTTTTTTTTGATAGTTTCCTTTTTGTTGAATTTGTCGTTTTGTTCATTTTATTTACTTTTCTGTCTACAGGTTTTGGTACTTCACTGAACTTCTTTAAGGGGATTATTCTAAAGTCTTTGTCAGATGATTTACAGATCACCATTTTTAGGGGTAGTTATTAAAGCATATTAGTTTTTTTATAGTGCCATATTTACCCAAGTCTTCATGACCCTTGATTCCTTGTGCTGGTATCAGTGCATATAAGTAAGCAGTGTCTATTCCAGACTTTAAAGGCTCACTTCATCATGAAAATGTTTTTATCAATCAGCTCAGTTTGGAGGAGAGAACAAACAGAAGACTTGGTAGCATTCCTGGGGGTGTGGGGCATGTTAACAGGGTCTTTGTTGGAAAAGTTAATGCCTGTGCACTGAGTTTGGTGGTTGGATGTTGGCTGAGTTGTGTGGTTTTCTGGGTCTGCTGATTCAGCTTCCTGATCAGACTGGGCTGCTTACTGTTTTCTGGGGCTTGATGGGTCCACTTGCTGAGTTTTACCATCACCTCTTGTTGGGTGATGTTTCAGGCTGTGTTTTGAGGTATGGAGGTTCCACTAGTCAGACTCTGCAATGTGTCAGGGTTACAGGCTCTATTTGGCAATGGCTCCTGTGTGGGGGAAGTTTGAGGATATATTCCCTTAGCCTGATGTTGCTTCTGGATGGATTTCATGTTCAGTTGGGGCAACAAGAAGAGCTTCACAGTCATACTGGGCCTTGGAATGTGATATGAAATCTTGTGAAGCCAAATGTTGTTTCCTTAAGTTGGCAGGGTTACAGACTTGGCTTCACAATAAATAAAATTGTTGGTTGTGCTCTGCTGTTGGGTGTGGTAATTGGCCAAATTCCCAACTTGGAAGGGCCTCCAACTGCATGATAGAATTGGGTAGGGATATGGACTATTCCATAATTGGGCAGTGTCACTCTTCTGGCTCATAACCCTCACTGGGCGGGTTATGAACTACACTCTATGATTGAGTGAGTTAACTGCGTAGGCTCCTTGAACGGGTGAGACCACAGGCTGAGTTAGTCAATTGAACAGCATTGTAGTATGGGCTGCCTCACTAGATGGCGATATAAATTTGTCTCCATATATCATCTGAATCATAGGCTGCTGGTATGGCCGCCAGGGTTGTTTTGTCCAAGCCTTTTAAATGGCCAGGACTGGGGCAACACTCAGTAGTTGAGTGGGTCTTGCACATGTGTTTTCTGGTTATCCAGTGTGCTAGAATAGACTCCATGGTTGGTATGGTGTGACTTAGGACCCAAATCAGGTAAAACAGACAACTGAGCTCTCTGGACAGATGGTATGAGGGTCTGTACTCTGAAGAAGGGAAGAACCACTACTTGGGCCTTCTCTTTAGGGACTGTTACAAGGAGGAAAGCAGTCCACCAAGGTCTTAACGCTGGGTGCCTTAAGCCCCACCTTTGCCTGAGTTCCTATTAGTCAACTAGTAGCCAGAAATCACAAAGCCAGACTGCTGAATCAATGGAGATGTAATGGGGATTATAACCCTTAACCTTAAGTCTTTGCAGGTGGTGCCAACCTCTGTCATTCCCCTCTCTGCCAGAATGATGACATTGCCTTAACCTACTGTTTTCACTAAACAAAACTTCAGTTTCAGAGCCTTCCATCAGGCCTTTCCTAGGACAGACATTGTTATTTCCTAGGTTAAGGAATGATAGGATAGAAAACCAGGTTGGCCAACTGCTATGTGTGTCCTGATTATACCTTTGGGAACTTGGGAAATGACTGCTGGATGGCTGCATGGATCGAGTGGACCCAGTGTTAGGTGGACATTACCTTACTTCCATAAGTGTACTCTAACAGGTGGTGTTTTGGGTCCCTAAATGTGAACTGAGACACTCTATTGATAACCCTTAAAATTTCTATATGTTTTCTTTGTTTTGAATATGGTTGCTTGAGTGAATGGCCATAGGCTCCTTTGGGGAAGAGCTCAGGAAATTACTACTGTGTACATTTGCATCCTCCTTTCTGATAAAAACTGCCTTCCTTTCCAACAATAGCCTCTGGAGCAAGGATTGGCTGAGGTCTGGAAAGGAGGCAACGAATGTTTTCTTTTCTTTCAGGTAGCACCTGAACCATCTGATCATCTTTTAAAAATATCTTTTGGGCCCTGGCTGGCGTAGCTCAGTGGATTGAGCACAGGCTGCGAACCAAAGTGTCGCAAGTTCGATTCCCAATCAGGGTACATGCCTGGGTTGCAGGCCATGAGCCCCAGCCACACATTGATGTTTCTCTCTCTCTCTCCCTCCCTTCCCTCTCTAAAAAATAAATAAATAAATATATTTTAAAAATATTTTTTGGTGAGATATATGAAGCAATACCCTGTTGGCTGCTCTGTTCTGCCTGTGAGAACACCATCTTCTATGAGCTATACCCTTAGACATCTATGGGTCAGGGTCCCTGGTTGTCATTCTAAGCTTGCTGCTCATTATGGAGATTAGTCATCTTTCTTTGATAATTTAGTGCTGTCACATAGCTTAAATTACTGTAAAATGCTATCATTTCCTTTGCTACAAGGAAATCCAGCTCTGTACCTGAATTCTACATTATTCCAGGCTACAGACGACAGTCCCACGTGATCATCTTAAGGATGCAGGTGCCCTCTTAACAGTGCATTCCTTATGCTCACTAAGGTGGTGTTTCGGAGGCCTCCTGAGAACACAGTCACCTGAAGGATGGGTTTTCCAGTTGTAGAGAGCAGAGCTGTGCCATCTTCCTAAGTGTTTTGAGTGCCCCAACTCCATTTTGCTGGCCCTGGCAAGTCTAGTATTCCTCCTTTCACTCTATCTAGTGTTCACTGTGGTTTATAGCAGCCACTAAGAGTCACCAAGAATCATTTCCTTTGGAACTGATCTGGAAAATTAATCTGTGTGGCACAGGAAAGTGTACGTGTATCAGTAGCCTCCACTGCCCATCAGTGGTACCTTGTAACATTGCTTTTCCAGGATCCAGTCCCACACAAATCTCCTAGTCCTGCAGTTCTGCTGAATTGTTCACCTAGCAGTCTTATCTCTTATATTCCTAGTTGTGTTATGCTGAGAGAACTGTGCATAGTCTTAAATGGGAATATGATAGGGTCTTTACAAATAAGGACAAGGGACGACTTTTGAAGTCTGTGGAATCAGAGGGGTCTTGAGTTCAGAGTTCACGTGCATCTACCTAGAAAACCCCATTCTGAGTTTCAGCGCTTCATGCTTTCTTTATCACGCCTTGACTTTACTCAAGAGGTCACACTGAGCTTAGAATTCAGTCTTCTCTGAAGTGGTATCATTCTTAAAATTAGGGGCTGTGCTAGGACTTTCTCACTGCCTGCTCTCTAGCTGTAGGTGATAACCAATACATTTAAGCCATCATATACTCAATATTTAAGACATTAGTGGTGTTTAGAAATAGGCACCAAATTATATAGTTCTTATGGTTGCTATTTCTCCCTTTGTGAATGCTAGACAATTGTATCAGGTAGTATACATCTTCCCCTTTATCACATTCAGTTACTGAAGGTGAATGTTTTTGGAACCACACTGCTTGAGCACCCCAGGTACTATCTACATTCTGCCTGGAACTGTCTGTCTAGCCAGCCTTCCAACTCAGTACTCCATGCCTAAGGGATGGCTTGCTAAAACCATTATGTTAAGGTGGGCTCCCAAAAGCAAAGCCGCAGATAAAGTCTCTTGATTATGTGATTTATTGTGAGGATTCTCTCAGGAGGAGGAGTGTAAGGGATGTAGGATACCATGGAGGAGAAAGCTAAGCAAGGATATGGTCATAGCTGGACAATAGTTGTAGCCTCAGTCCCTGGGGGACATGGAGTCACTGAACATAGTTGGTTCAACCTTGGGGTGGGAACCACCCCCTAGGCCACAGAGATATAACATTCAGGTGAATCTGGCTCCATTTGGCCCAAAGCAATACATTGGGGAGAGGTGGCATCAGCAGCCAACCTCATAGCAGCAGGGGGATAAGAAATGTGCCAGAAAGCAGTGTGATGTTTCAGGGTGCCAACAGCATGCACTGCACCAGTGCACTGTTCTAATTTGTTTCCTTAATAGCGAAGACCTCTTTGAATTTCTTCATAAATTCCTCCTGGTTTAAGTGTAATTTCTCACACTACAAGAAAAAACAGACAAAAATAATGATACTCATTATCACTGTCATTTAGACACCTTGCAACTGAGAATATCAGGACCCTTAACCAGGTTAAGTTTAAAAATACACACAGCTAAGAGTAACTTGTTTCGTAAAATAACGATTACTTCTTGATGACTAGACAGAAATGGGAAATCATTACTAGACTTCAGGACTCTCACTCCTTAGGTTTGGGTTGTCTCTTTAAATGAGAGTTAGAAAAGCAACCGAAGATCCTAGAAACAATTAAATATCACAGATGTCTAAGTACAACCAGTGGTCTTCCTTTCACATTGACACTTCTATTCCCCTTTGTTTACCCTTGTTAACTATATAGGGAGTCACTTGCAAAAGACTCTGCATTTTGTGACTTCTGGAAGGTCTCAGTAAGTATAAATGGGGAGAGGTAAGAGGAATAACGTGACTTTAGGATGTAGTCCCCTTTGTAGGTGTGGAGGAAGAAGGATGTGATTGTTCTCAATGGGCACCTGTTGCCTTCATTGAAGCTCTCAAGGGGTTCTGGAAGCAGGCACACCTTCTCACTCATAGTTCCTCTCCTTGGTGAGCTGAAATCCTTAATGTAAAAGCCCACTCACTTCCTGAACTCTTGCTCATACTGGCTGATCCTAAAATCTGAGGGAAACTCTAAAAAATGCCCAGCACCAGGAAATGAGAGCAGAGAAACTCATGGAAAGAAAATGCAATGAATGCATGGGAGCCACTTACCCTGGGGTCCTGAAAAAATTTGTTCATGGCGTCCAGAAAATCTTGCACTTTGGAGTACTTATTCATGATTAGTTTCTTCTTGATTGTGTCCAACGCCCTAAGTTTCCCTATGTATTGAGAAGCCTTTGTAACCTGGTGAAAAATATACCAATAGCAATCAAATGGAGAGTTTTGACAGAGTTCAATGTCTTCTGTGGATTCCCATCAAATCCAGCAGAAATCCAAGGTAATGATAAAGTAGCCCATGCTCTCCCTCCCAGCGGCTTCAGAGCATAAATCCCACAAGTGCCCCTGTGAAGGTCAGGGAATATCATGGTGGTCGGCATTGATGTTTTTTTTGCTGTTACTCACATAACTTCCACGTGGAATATTTGGGAAAATGTTGCTCTCTAAATGTTGATAGACCTTTAAGAGCAGGAACTCACATTTCTGCAAAAGAAGGCGTCAGTGAATGAAAAACAGCTTGGAGAGAATGCGCCCAGAGGCATGCCCTGACTGGCGCAAACCCAATCAGTCTTCTGGAAGTTTCCCCACACTGGTATTGCTCTTGGATGCTAACAAGTAATGACTGTTTTTCCCCCCTGCATATAGCTTCTGGTGAGTTTTCAGTGTGGCTGAGACACATTCAGAAGAGGAGGCATCGTTTGACACCCTCCCCCTCATCCTGTGACTGACTGACTTCTTACATGTGAGCACAACAGAAAAGGCTTGGGGTCACATTCAACTCACCAACTTCCTCCCAGGATCCATCTGCTTCACCAGGACCTCAGATTCCGTATAAAACTGCAGACTTTGTGAAGAAGTTTCTACTGTGCAGAAGGTACAATTCCAACCGTTCCTGAGATGTCAGATATAAGTAAAAAAGGGCAAAGCTCAGAAAACGCCACCATCACTATAGCTGTCACTGTTCTCTTTAAGGAACAGCCAGTAGGCACAGACTGGGGGTGAAGGGGACATCTTCAGGCATCCGCAGAATTCTCATGTGATACCCATAGAGGGTAACCACAGGGGGTGAGTGGGTGGAAGGCTGAGTCAGGGTGGGTAGTGGGCTCTCCTCTTCTTGTCTGAGCTGCTGGTAGCACAGGAAGCCCTGACCATCAACCTGAGCACCAGAGACTGGACCTTAACCCATGGGGACCTTAGGCCTTCATCATCCAGTTGGAATGTAGTGAAATGAGGAAACCAGGCATGTTTTCCTCCTTTTCTGAATAAGCCCAGAGTACAAAACGATTGGCATAACCACTCCCATAAAAAGGTGTCTGTGCTGGGAAAGTTCTGGAAAGGACAGTAGCATTGTGTTGGCGAAGAACCTAGTCCCTAGTCCCTCCTCCCCAAAAGAGAGAAGAGAACAATACCCTCTTGTTGCCAGCTTCTTTCAGCAGCTCCCAGGATCATACTGCTGGACCCTGTACCTCCAGCCCCACTCTGTCCCCATCAGGAAACAAGGAGGAACCTCACAGGGGGAGTGTGCATGGCAGGAGGATTGGTCTCTAAAAGGAGACAGGGGGCTGCATCTCACAAACCTCTTTGTGTCCACAGGTGGGAGGTGACAGTCCCCATGAAAGAAGCTCTGACAATTTTCACAGCAGAAGAGCTTTCCTCCATCCTGGCAGATCTTGCATTTGCCTGAGTTTTCCTCCTAGAAGATGAAATAAGGTCCACATTCCCATGGGCCCCTGATGACAAGCACTGTGGGAATCTAGGACTCATGGTCTTTGTGTGAGCCTGCAGGGACTCTTATGTGTTTCTGTGAGCTGTGAAGGGGCAGCATGGAGTGGAGGTGTCAGAAGAGGAATTCTTGGTCTGCTGTGAAGTTCAGAAGGAGGGGCCTGTGTGACCAGACTGGAGTTTTTTCTGATAAAACCAGAGATCCAATACAAAAGAAAAATGCAAACAAAGTATAACCAGAGGCATTGAAATTAAGAACAATCTAACAATAGCCAGAGGGGATGGGGGAGGGCCCAGTGGGGGAAGGGTTTTCAAGCACTACTATAAAGGACACATGAACAAAACCAAGCGGGATAGTGGAAGCAAGGGATAGAAGTCGGTTTGGCTGCAGTGTGGGGAGGGGGTGGGTAGTGGGGAGGAAATGCAGACAACTGTATTTGAACAGCAATAAAATGATAAAAAAAAACTAGAGATGCTAACACAGCAAGACAGGCAACAAAACAAGAGGATGATTTCATGGGAATCTGAATCATCTTATTACCTTGCAGAAAAACCAGGTTTCTGAAACAAAGTGATAAATCCTTATGCCTACACACAATGCCTGAAATGAATCATGGAAAGGTGGTATGTTGGGATATCAATAAGGTGGAATAAACGTCCCGTTTTCTTGGCTGTAGGCTCCCCCTGAGTTGAAGGGCCTGGTAGGGGTCTCTGCACTATGGATTGTGGGCCTGGAGGGCCTCTGGCCCTGTGACAGTGCCTTTGGGTTGGAAAGGTCATGGACACAAATGACCATGTCTTGCCCGGGAAGATGGAGCTCTTTGATTCTGGAAGCCTGAGGAAGATGCCCTGTGACTCAGCATGGCATGTATGATATGGAGCCTTCATCTCTGAGTGTCCAGGGAGTGGGACAAGTGCTTTGTGCCTAAACAGAATGGAGAGTGCTCTCCCAACCTATGCACAATCAACTGAAACTGGATTTCTTTCCACTCTCAATATGTGTCTTTTAAGCAGATTTAATTTCACTTAGAGAACATAAAATTTGATAATATTTTCATCCAAATCTTGACTGTTATTCATTAAACCCAAATAAATTTGCACAACAGATATGAAGATACACTGTGTTCTATACAAGCACGTGTATCCTGATAAGGAACTGGCCTGTGACTGAGCTTTTTGTTAATGAAGAAAATAGTGTAAGAAATAATATTAAAGCTCAATGTCAGGTGCTGCTGTGACATCTGCTAAGACTGAGATGGCCTCAGACAGCCTTCCTCCATATTCATCTCCCTACTCTATTTCCCTGGATAAGGTCCTACAGCTAAATAATACTCCTTGTCAAGGGACCAGCACTGATCCTGCCCATCCTGGAATATCAGGTTTCACTTCCCTGTGAGCCATGGAATCTTTGACACAAGCCAGCCACAACTTGCCATGGAAACCAGGGGGCCACCCCACACTCTGCAGCCCCTCATTGGTCACTTGGTTCCTGGGGGTGATCTTGGTAAGGCCTGCATGTCTGGTATTGACTTCCTTTCTCAGTTTGGGAGTAGGTGTGACTAATTACACCTGTCCATCCAACTGTGCTGTGACAGATGTTATTATTTGCCATCTCCTCCCAAATGTCTAGTGGATATATCTCCCTCACAAGTAGGGTGAAGAAGGGGGTGATTAAAGCAGAAACCCTCTTCAAAAAGAATGAAAAGCAGCATTTATAGATGGGGATGAACTTTTAGGAACTGTACAAGCTCATGGTTGCTTTTCTGGTTCTGCCTTCTGAGAAAATCAAGAAGTTTGAGAACTGCTTGAAGGTTGTTCTCTCACAGGTAGAAACATACTGTCTATCCCATGGTCTGCTGAAGAAATTCTTCACCTCCTGTGACCATCTGAAGTCATGCAAACGAGGTTGGCTTGGGGACTGGCCCTCCCATTGATGAGTGCTGGGTGGAGGGAAGTGGGCTGTTGAAGAGCAAGAGGCAGGAATGACAGCTTCCACCTTTCAATATTGAGACCCTTCTGCTTTCTCCAAACACATATGGTCTGTGCTGTCTTTCTCCTGGGGTTACTCCCTTGACTCATATATGTTTGGCGTTACCTTCAGTCTTCCTCCTCCAACATTTAGAAAGAATACTCCAGGTTACCATTTTTGGCCATTTGGTTGGCCCCAGATGGTTAAATCACTCTCAAATCCGCAGTTACATCACTATGTCTCTAGTGCCCCTATGTCCACCCTGCCTCCTGCCTTTGTGTACATCCCTGTGCTCACCAGCATCTCCTCCTGGGCCCTAAATCACACCCCAAACTTATCCAGTCAAAACATAATGTATTCTCTTTCCCCAACCCACTACCTGCTCTTTCCTGGTGCTTCCATCTCATAAAACATGCACCTTCAACCACAAACCTGAGAATCCATTCTGAGTCCATATTCTTGCTCCTGTCCCAAATCCAATCTATCCCTGTTTGTTCTCACAGTAAAACATAAGCTTTTGTTGTTGTTGTTAAATCCATTGTCCCTGTAGGGTCCACTGCAAACAGGGAAGCTGAGACCCTAAAGAATGGTTCCAACTTAATACACAAAAGAGGGGTCTGTTTCTCAAAGTCTGTATTATATCTCTAATAACAACACACAAAGATCACAAATGTCCTTCTTGAAATCACTGGGCAGAGTACTTTGGAATATAGCTATGTTATTTTTCAGAATGTAGAAAATAATAAAGGATGATAAGTCAGTAAGAATCATTTTGAAACTTGTTCTATGATTTTGGGTGATAAGTTTTCCCAGAATCAAGAGTCTGGTCATTTGTTTTATATCCATATATGAGTAAGTGCAAGTGCCAAATGACATCTTGCCAAGAGCTGCCATTCAGTGTTCTGGGAGAATCCTGAATCACATGCGCAGTGGGGGCTGAGACTGCTCCACCATGAAAGCCAAGGGATAATTTCCTTCTCCTCACTGTAGCGACTCTCAGATTACCATCATCCTCTCCAGAAAGTGGCGACCCTCTTCTCAGGAGAACAAGGAAATAATAAATGTAAACAGTGCATAAAAATCTTGCATTCATACATTTCAACCAAAACCAGCTCTTATTTCTTTTGTTCTTTCTTTGTTAGCCCAGCCATACATTTGAATTGTCTAAGGACAGTATATAAAATTTTGTATATATATATACAAATAATGTCCTGGTTCCAATATCAGAGATTCTGATCAATTGATTTGAGTAGGGCTTAAGCATTGGCATTTTCCTTAATTTTAGAATGAGTAACTTGTTATAAAAATTATCTGAAGATTGTTTAACAATTCTAGTGTCAAAGTGATAACTTAGAACGGTGAAATCAAAATTTTGTGTAGAGTGGGACTAAAGCAATGTTATTTTCCAAAGGTCCTCAGGTGATTCCAGTACAGCCTACGTTGAGCTTTAGCTTGAGCCAGGGTGGTTATTAATGCATGGGAATCTTATAAGGCATTGTTGAATTGGCCTGTAATATCTATCCTGGGAAACATTCTTATTAACAGGAGTGAGAGTACTCTTCCTGGAACAGTTGCCTTCTCCTCCTGACAGCCTCTTGGTTAGTGGCAGTATGACAGAAACCACTGGATTGCCATCTCTTATCCAGGGTCCTGGGAACCATGCACATGTCCCAGAGAAGTCCAACAGCTCCTACAATTCTTCTAGGACACCAGCCTAATGATAAAATGAATCCTAGGTCCTCTGTACTCCAATTCTTCTTCCAGAAGGTCACACCCCTCTCCATTCATCCAAATCCCCAGATGGCACCTGACTGGCTTTTCACAGGAAACTAAGCTCTGTACACTACACTTGCAGTGTTTTTGTACCTTCATTAGAATGACTTGGCCTCTTTCCCTTCAGGCAGCCTCAGGTTTTATCTCCACCCAGGGCAGAGAGGTCACAGACTAGTGTGGTCCTCTGATAAGTGACCTGAGAAATGGTCATGTCACAGCCTGTCTCTTGGGTACTCTAGAGTCCCTGCTCTCCAACAGTTATTTTTTACATGGTGGATAATTGAATTTGAAACAATCCTTGAACTCAGGGACATGATTTCAATATTCTGTATGGACATTGGGCATTTCTATGCACTGAGTAACTATTTTGAATGAGTAAATAAATGAGTATGGTTTCACTTAGGAAGAGAGAACATTTGTTATCTTTTTAGCAAATATTAGCATATAATAAATAGTTGTTCTGGTTGATTATTTCAGATTACATGAAAACACATAGCAGCTATCACCAGAAAGTATGTGTGGACCTCATCTGATGAGAGGAAGCTGTTGTGTGGTGCCAAAATTCACACTGAAGTTTTCAGGAACCAGGGGCTCCGTCAACAAGAGAAGTTCTAGGAGATACAAAGGATCCATCAAGGTAGAAATGCATCCTGAGATCTGCCAATCTGAGTCACTTTGCTTCCTGATGAAAAGACACAAAATATATGGAAAATTCAACCTGGTTGCTACAAAGTGTTGTGCCCATGTATAATGATAGAACCTGTGGGTAGGAAGCTGCTAGCTCCTTCAGGTAATCCAGATAAAGTAACTCTAGGCACATGGAGAATGATAGAAACTTTACAGTAGTTACTGACTAGGTCCAACAGTAATTTCTCTTTATTAAACCCAGTGGGTGAAATGTCCCAATATCTGGGGTTTTAAAAGACCCAGATCATCAGGTAATGTGAATGCCTAGACCTCACATTCCCAGTGCTATATGAAGTCCCAGTGGCCAGCTCTTTATAAGCTAAAGTAGAATTCTGTGAATGTCCTGGGCAGCCATTTCTACCTGTAGTGTGTGAGAATGGCACCTCACACCTTCCCCTGCTTCTCAAGTTCTCATTCATACCCACTGTTGTAAAAACTACCACTTTGTCCAGGATCTGCATTCATATTACCTTTGTGTTTGTTGCCTCCATAGCCTTCTTCCACAGAAGGAGAAATCACTTTCACTGGTAGATAGGAGGCCTGTACAGACCCTGAGGTGGAGCTAAAGGAGGGCATCAAAGTAAACAATTTTCCAGGTCTGTACCTCACTTAACCTGCATCTATCTCCCAAGGGTCCCTCCCCAACAGCACCATCCTGATGAAAAATGTGGCAATAATTTCTGCTTGAGAAGGAATTTTATTTGTCTGTGTATATGTTTTATTGAAGAATGAATGACTATGTAAGTAATCAGAGAAGAAATAGGCTCTCAGTTTCCTATCTCATGAAGTAGTACATGGTTTCATATGTGTCCCAAGATAGATGATCCACTAGACAGGTTCATCTGGATGATGAAGAGCAAACTTTTTCTTCATTAAATTTCATTAAAGTTAGAAAATAGTAACCTTTATCAGAAAAATCTGGGAGGGACTTGAAGATGACCCTATGACCTTATTAAGAAAGGTTTTCCTGTATTCCAGAATCACGTTTGCTTTTACAACTTTAACAACTTTACAACATCTGCATCTATAGCTAACACTCAGCTATGGGATCTATTTTGATGGCTCCTTATCATCCTCATCTGAAATGGTTTACAATCGAAGATAACCCTGCATACAACCTAATGTTCAATGGAGCAACTCTGAAGGCATGCAAAATACATACATACATGAACAGGTACACAAATAAATAAAGGCACCCAAGAGGAGAAAAAGAAACAAAGTTATTATGCAACTGAGAAACCATACAAATGATGCAGTACATATAAAAGCAGTTATGAATAAGAAGTAGTATAAAGTAATAATCACCTTTTTTTTGCTTTCACGTGTAGTAGGAGGTAGATGGATATATCCAAGCTGAAAGATAAAAGTGATCCAAGTTGATGCTTAGCCTGTGTTTAAGTTTTGTGAGTCTGGCATTCCAACCTCCTTATAAATATTTCTACACAAATGTCCAACTGTCATCTCAAAGCCCGGGTGTCTAATTGAGGAACCATCTCCCTCTCCTCACCTGTTCTTCTAGATCCATCCACAGAACCCAGAAATACATCTTTGGAAACTCTTCCCTTTCTTTTGTGTTTTTTAAATAACTTTTCAGAGGTTTTCCTTCACAATCTCTTTGGCACCTCTCACCCCCTCTCCATTCCCATCAGTGCCACTCACACCTGCCTCCTCACACTATGGCTATTCAACCAACACACATGTCCCACACCTACAGGGTGTCAGACACCTGGACAATGTTGGGCACAATGTTGGGCACCCTCTGGACAATCTCTAGACCTACGGGGGTCTAGAGATACAAAGGGAATGGGTAGAAGGATAAGAATAAGACAGTGTGAGAAGGGCCTCACTTGAGAGTTCAGGGGGCCAAGGGAAGGGGTGACCAGGGTAGGTCAGTCAGGGAACATTCAGACAGGAGTGACATGGGAGCTGAGCCTTGAAGGTTGACTATACGTTTCTTGGGCTGAAAGACAGTGAAGTCAGTTCAAGTTCCCACATTGTCTGAAACACTGTTTTAAATATGTCATTTCACACCTGAGGAGACTCTGTGGCTCTGCGCTGTCCATGTTACAAGTTCACACTCTTTAGCCTGACATTAAATCCCTCTGCAAACAACCCCAATTGATGGATTATGCTGTATCACACACAATCCATCTACCTCAACTCATGGAGTCATGGTAACTGTGGTTCTGATTTTATACCACTCTTTCTCTGGAGTGTGTTCTGCCCAGTTGTTTGACTGTAGAGAGTCTTCTTTCTTTTAGTGCCAAAAGTTGTCTGTAAGCACCTGGGTCAGAATGACCTTTCCTTCCTCCAAGCCCCTGCAGCCACCCTGACAGAGCCCCTTCGACAAATGGATGGGTTCCCTTGTACTGAGGTATGAGTGTGGGGCACCTCTTCCTGTGAAAAGGATAAAGTCTTGGGCCTCAAAGCTCCAGCCACAACTCAGCACATACTGGGTAAGCAAATAGTGACCTCATCTTTGACCACAACAAAGAAAGTCACACCTTCTGCCCCCTGTCACTGAAATACCTCCATCAGCTGTTTTAGGGTTTTTCCACCGCAGGTCAGGCTGTTCCTCCAGTTATTTGCTTTTTCGTAGCCTCCTCTGATTTCAAATTCCCTGGGAGTGAACCAGTTTCCATCTTCAGTTCTTATGCACTTCCTTGTGGCTCCTGTAAGACCAGGGTACATTGATCCTGACCCCTCTTTGTCCTCAGTGCTCAGAGGTTGGCCTCCCACCATTTTGGATCTGATGTCACCCATCTGGGTTCAAGATCAATAGCAGAAGCTTCTGGCTTCCCCTTCCATACTTCAGAACCCACAATTCTAGCTTTTAAGTTCCCTCCAAGGAGATTTGCTGCTTTGAATTAAAATCTCAAGTGGAGGCCCTGCAGCTCACAATGGCACTAAGGCAACATCCACGTCCTGTGTTACAACAATTTTCTCTGAGTTTACTGTCATTGTTGAGCAGATATTTTCCCATCCTTGAAATCATGGGTAGCTAATACTAAAATAATTGTGAGATACTAATCAGTAGAAAGTTTAACTGATATGTAAAAAATTATCATATACTTAACAACATTATCATTAGATAAAAGGGAATTAAACCACAATCAAATACTACAGTCTAAGCACTAGGGTGGCCACTACAAAAAAGACAGACAATAACAAATGTTGGTTAGAATGCAAAGAAATTGGAACCCTCAGATTTTGCCGATGAGTATTAAATTGGTGCAATACTTTGAAAATTTTTTCGTTTTTTTTTTCTTAATAAGAGAAACATAGAATTACCACGTAATCCTGCAATTCCACTCCAGGGCATATACTAAAAATCATCTTAAAAATATATTCACAAAAAAACTTTACAGAAAACGGTATTATTCATGATAGCCAAAGAATGAGAAAACCCTAACTGAAGGCTAAATGCAGTATTGCATATCCATATTATGGCTCACATATGACAATAAAAAGAATGACTTATAAGACATGGCACTTTATGTATGGACCTTGAAAACTTCATGCTAAGTGAAGGAACTAGTGACAGGAAGGCAGATGTTATGTGAGTCAATTGAGATAAAATGCTTAAATAGGCCAATTTATAGGTCAGAACACAGATTAATCATTGCTTAGGGTGGGCGATGAGCCTGGGCGAGGATGGGCACTGATAGCTAAGAGGCATCGGGGTTTCCTTTGGTGGGGACAAAATGTTCTAAAATTTGGTTGTGGTAATGGTTTTATAATCTTGTGAATGAACAAAGCAAAAAAAAAAACAGTGAAATCTACACTCTAAATGGTGAGTTATACATATGTGAGTTATATCTCAAGGAAGCTGTTTAAAAAATAATTATGATAGAGGGGGAAAAGATGGTGGCTTTACTCTAGGCAGTATGTTTCTCGGCTTCTGTGAAGAGGAGGGTATCTTGCGGATCGGTGGAGAAACAGAGCAAGTAGCCTAGGTTACCGAAACATTTTCGAAAACAGGACATCAATAATTATTGCGATCATTGAAAAACCAGACGATCACAAAAAAGAGTAGGGGGAAGTTGTGAACACCAAGATACACGAAGGAGACTGCACCACTGAATCTCACAAGTATTCTACCACAGAAGTTCACACCATAATTACAGGAAACAAGAACAGATCAAATTAAGAAACAGAGGCTAACGAGAAGAAACCCACAAACAATGAGAAAACAAAGAAACAATCCCCAAGTGAAGGGAAAGGAGGAAGCCTCAGGAAAAATGCTAAATGAAATAGAAGCAACTCAACTATCAGATAGTGAGTTCAAAACAATGATTATCGGGAAATTCAATGAACTCACAATGAGCTATCAGAAACTAGAGGGAAGCTACAACAATCTCACTGCAAACTATATAAACATGAAAAAGGAAATAGAAACTCTCAACAAAGGCCAAGAGGAAATGAAGAATGCCATTTCTGAACTGAGGAACATAGTAGAAGGAATGAAAAGCAGGATCGATGAAGCAGAAGATTGGGTTAGCCAGCTAGAGGATAAAATAGAAAACGACACCCAGAAAGAGCAAGAAAAGGAAAAGAGGCTCAGAAAGAATGAATAGGGATTAAGAGAAATGCAAGACGATGTGAACCATAATAATATCCATATAATAGGGATACCAGAAGGAGAACAAGAGCAAGGGATCGAAAATCTAGTTGAAAAAGTAATGAAGAAAAACTTCCCTAATTTGATGAGAGAAAAAGTCACACAAATCCAGGAAACACAGAGGGTCCCAGCCAAGAGGAACCCAAAGAGGCCCACCTCAAGACACATAATTAAAATGGCAAAATTTCAAGACAAAGAGAATCTTAAAAGCATTAAGGGAGAAACAGGAAGGAACATACAAGGGAGCCCCAATAAGGCTAACAGCTGATTTCTCAATGGAAACACTCCAAGCCAGAAGAGAATAGCAAGAAATACTCCAAGTAATGAGAACCAGAGGTCTGCAACCAAGGCTACTTTACCGAGCAAGGCTCTCAATCAAGATAGAAGGCCAAATAAGAAGCTTCCCAGACAAAAGAAGCCTAAAAGAATACACCTCCACCAAACCAGCTCTGCAAGAGATGCTAAAGGGACTGATTTAAGGAAGGGAAGAAAAAGAGAGAGAGAGGAACACTCGTACATAAAAGGCAATGAATAAGTACCTATCAATAATAACCCTAAATGTAAATGGATTAAATGCTCCAATCAAAAGAATAGAATAGCTGAATGGATAAGAAACAATGCCCCACATATATGGTGCCTACAAGAGACTCACCTCAGGATAAAAGACCTGCACAGGCTGAAAGTGAAGGGCTGGAAACAAATCTTCCAAGCAAATAACAGGAAAAAAAAAGCCGGGGTAGCAATACTCATATCAGACAAAAGACATTTCCAAGAAAGGTCCATAAAGAGAGACCCAGGTCACTTCATAATACTCAAGGGAAGAATCCACCAAGAAGACATAAATATTGTAAATATATATGCACCCGACATAGGAGCACCAAAATACATAAAGAAAATCTTAGAGGACTTCAAGAAAGATATTGACAGCAACACAATTATTGTGGGGGGTTTTAACACCCCACTATCAAAAATACACAGATCTTCCAAACAAAATATCAAAAAAGATACTGTGGCATTGAACAATACCCTTGGTGAAATGGACTTTGCTGATATATACAGAACCCTCCATCCAAAAGAAGCTAAATACATATTCTTTTCAAATGTACATGGAACATTTTCCAAGATTGACCACATGATAGGACACAAAACAAGCCTCAACAATTTCAAAAAAATTGAAACCATACCTAGCATTTTCTTGGATCACAAGGGACTGAAGCTAGAAACCAACCCCAAGGGAGAAAAAAACCCAAAACACTAAAAATCATGGAGATTAAATAGCACGCTATTAAACAATGAATGGGTCAAGAATGAAATTAGGGAAGAAATCAAAAGGTTTCTGGAAACAAATGAAAATGAACTCACAACAACCCAAAACTTGTGGGACACAGCCAAGGCAGTCCTGAGAGGGAAGTGTATAGTGATACAGGCCCACCTAAAAGAGTTAGAAACATTCCAAGCAAACAACCTATCCCTACATCTACAAGAACTCGAGGAACAACATCAAAGACAGCCCAGAGCAAGCAGAAGGAAGGAAATAACCAAGGTCAGAGCAGAATTAAATGACAGAGAGACCAAAAGCACAATTCTAAGGATCAATGAATCCAAGAGCTGGGTCTTTGAGAAGATAAACAAAATCGACAAGCCTTTAAGCAGACTCATCAAGAAAGAAGGAGAGAAGACCCAAATAAACACAATCAGAAATGAAAGAGGAGAGATTAAAACAGATACCACAGAAATACAAAGGATTGTAAGAAATTACTACAAAGAACTGTATGCCCAGAAATTGGAAAACCTAGGTGAAATGGACAAGTTCCTAGAAAAATATAATCTTCCAAAACTCAATGAAAAAGAACTAGAAAGCCTGAACAAACCAATTACAGCAGAAGAAATTGAAGCAGTAATCAAAAAATTCCCAACATACAAAAGCCCTGAACCAGATGGTTTCACAGGAGAATTCTACAAAGTATTTATGGAAGAGCTAACCCCTATCCTTCACAGACTATTCCAAAAAATCCAAAAAGATGGAAAACTCTCAAACTCTTTTTAGGAGGCCAACATCATCCTAATTCCAAAACTAGATAAAGAGACAACAAAGAAAGAAAACTTCAGGCCAATATCGCTGATGAACATTGACGCTAAAATCCTCAACAAAATACTGGCAAACCGCATCCAACAATACATTAAAAACATCACCCCATGACCAAGTGGGATTCATTCCAGGGATGCAAGGATGGTACAATATTCGCAATTCAGTAAATGTAATACATCACATAAACAAAGGCAAACGCAAAAACCACATGATCATATCAATAGATGCAGAAAAAGCATATGATAAGGTACAGCACCCATTCATGATGAAAACACTCAGTTAAGTGGGAATAGAGGGAGCATTCCTCAACATAATAAAGGTCATATATGAGAGATCTACAGCCAACATCATACTCACTGGGCAAAAACTAAAATGCTTTCCACTAAATCAGGAACAAGATAAGGCTGTCCACTTTCACCACTTCTATTCAGTATAGTACTGGAAGTTTTAGCCACAACGATCAGACAAGAAAAAGAAATGAAAGGCATCCAAATCGGAAAGGAAGAAACAAAACTGTCACTGTTTGCCAATAACATGATAGGGTACATAGAAAATCCTACACTCCACCAAAAAACTGCTTGACCTAATAAATGAATTTGGCAAAACAGCAGGATACAAAGTCAATATCCAGAAATCAAAGGTCTTTCTGTACACCAACAATGAAACAGCAGAAGCAGAAATCAAGGAAAAAATCCCATTTGAAATAGCAAAAAGAAAAATAAAATATAAAATATCTAGGAATAAACCTAACCAAAGAAGTAAAAGACCTGTATTCAGAAAACTACATAACACTCAGGAAAGAAATCAAGGAAGACACAAAACAAATGGAAACATATACCGTGTTCATGGATTGGAAGAATTAATATCATCAAAATGTCTGTACTACACAAAGAAATTTACACATTCAATGCAATTCCTATTAAAGTACCAATGGCATATTTCACAGACATAGAACAAACACTTCAAAAATTTATATGGAACCATAAACGACCCTGCATAGCTGCTCCAATTTTGAGAAAGAAAAGTAAAGGGACCACAATACCTGACACTAAACTATACTACAAGGCCACTATAATCAAAACAGCCTGGTACTGGCATAAAAACAGGCACTTAGACCAATGGAACAGAACAGAGAGCCCAGAAATAAACCCAAGCCTCTAAGGTCAATTAATATTTGGCAAAGGAAGCAGCAACATAAAATGGAATAAAAATAGCCTCTTCGACAAATGGTGTTGGGAGAACTGGACAGCCACGTGCAAAAAAATGAAACTCAAGCACCAACTTACACCTTATACAAAAATAAATTCAAGGTGGATAAAAGACTTCAATATAAAACGTGACACCATTAAAGTCCTAGAGGAGAACGTAAGTAGGAAAATCTCAGATATTTCACGCAGAAACTTTTTTACTGACTTGTCCCCTAGAGCAAGGGACATAAAGGAAAGAATAAACAAATGGGACCTCATCAAAATTAAAAGCTTCTGCACAGCTAAAGAAAACAGTATCAAAATAAAAAGAGAACCAACTGTATGGGAAAACATTTGCCAATGATACCTCAGACAAGGGTTTAATCTTGAAAATATATAAAGAACTTACACGACTCCACTCTAAGAAGACAAACAACCCAATTAAATAATGGGCAAAGGACTTGAACAGACACTTCTCCAAGGAGGACATACAGAAGATCCAAAGATACATGAAACGATGTTCAATATCGCTAGCTATCAGAGAGATGCAAATTAAAACCACAATGAGATACCACTTCACACAAGTAAGAATGGCCATCATAAACAAAGCAACAAACAACAAGTGTTGGAGAGGTTGTGGAGAAAAGGGGACCCTAGTGCACTGCTGGTGGGACTGCAGACTGGTACAACCACTATGGAAAGCAGTATGGAACTTCCTCAGAAAACTAAAAAATGGATCTGCCTTTTGACCCTGCAATTCCACTGCTGGGACTCTATCCTAAGAACACTAAAACACCAATTCAAAAGAACCTATGCATCCCAATGTTCATAGCAGCACAATTTACAATAGCTAGATGCTGGAAGCAACCAAGATGCCCATCAGTAAATGAGTGCATCAAAAAACTATGGTACATTTACACAATGGAATTCTATGCAGCAGAAAGAAAGAAGGAGCTCCTACCCTTCGCAACAGTGTGGATGGAGCTGGAAAACATTATGCTTAGTGAAACAAGCCAGGCAGTGAAAGACAAATACCATATGATATCACCTTTAACAGGAACCTAAACAACAAAACAAAGAAACGAGCAAAATATAACCAAAGTCACTGAAATAGAGGACAGACTGACAGTGACCACAGAAGAGAGAAGAGGGAATTCAGGGGACAATGGGAAGGGTTTACAGGAACAAATTTAAAGGACACATGGACAAAAACTAGGGGGAGGGTGGTAAAGGGAGGGAAGGGGGGAGGTTTGGGAGAGGGGCTGGATTGGGAGTAAAAGGGAGAAAACTGTACTTGAACAATTATTAAAATAAAATTTAAAAAAATTATTATGATAAAACATTTATTCATATTAGTGTACTCATAGCCATATTAAAAATAATCTGAGTCCTGTCTGGTGTAGCTCAGTGGTTTGAGCACGGGCCTGTGAACCAAAGGGTTGTTGGTTCTATTCCCAGTCAGGGCACATGCCTGGGGTCCAGGCCAGGTTCCTAGTAGGGGATGCATGAGAGGAAACCACACATAGATGTTTCTCTCCTTCTCCTTCTTTCTCCCTCCCCTTTTCTCCAAAAATAAATAAATAAAATCTTAATAATCTGATATGAAGTTCATCATATAGACAAAAAGCCTTAAGTTTTATAATATTAAAATCACAAAACACTTTATATTCATATATAAAAGAACTCTCAAAGTCAGAGCAGGAAGCAAGTTTGTAATTATTATCAATTTCTTAGATGGGATGTTTAAGGTGCAGGAAGGTCCCAGTCTTCACACTGTCACTCTCAGCAGAGCTGAGGCTGGGATCAGGTTTTCTGATTATAAACTCTGTGATCTCCTCACTACATCTAACACCCTGTCCTGGTGGTGATTACCCAGATGGGATACAGGCTGTGAATGTGGAGGCTGCGGGCCTCTTCCCTGCTATATCTGACTCAAAGTAGAAAATGAAGTATTTTGAACCCAGAAACTGACAATCCTGCACTTCTCTTTGGTTCTTTGGGCATTCTCATGGGCACTTGCACATGGGGGTGAGCACTTGATATGCAGCACTGCTTAATGTGTAAAAATATCATCTTAGGGATCCTTCTTTTTTCTTTCAAGCCACAGTGGAGCCTCAGTTCCTTGAATGACAGGAGATTCACATGGGTCATTCCATTAGTTCATGCAATTCCTTCACAGAGTGGTTGCAAATCAGAGTAAATCTTGAAACTTACCTCGTTCCAATTTTCTCTTAATTAACAGCCCCATCATCTCCCCACATGTCACAGGAAGTATTTCAGCACGAAAATTCACAGATTCATCCAGCTGCTGTCTTGCCCCTGAAAGAGAAGATTTTTATTTTGTCTCATTTCATAATTGTACACAGAGAACTTCCTACCTTGTGGTTACTGTTTCTACAAGTCATAAGGGTACTAAGGAAACTGTATTCCACACATCTTCAGAGCTTCTGAGCCTTTCTTTCCATGGCATTTTTCATACATACCCACAGAACGTTTCCCTTGATTTCACCTCTCAATCCCCCCACAATCAGAAGGCTTTAACAGAGACACCAGGCATCAATCAGTACACCTGTCTTAGCTCCCCATGCAGTCAGCCCCTGATTCTTATGTGACAGTGACAGTGCTGCCCTGGTAGAAGGGAGCTCTAACTGTGCTATTTCTCTGGACTTAGGTCATTGGAGGCAAAATCCCAGACTGTACCTGCCTCTTCCTGTGTGAGCTCTGACTCAGGAGCAGAGAGGACAGTGATGGGGTGACCTAATGGAGATGGTGTCTGCCTGTTGTTTGTGTTCACTGCTTTGCCTCATTTCTCCCCCATGACAGGTTTCTCTAAAGCTGAAAGGGGAACTCTGGAAACTCTAAACAATCTGCAAACTGCAAGGGTGGTTAGACTAGTTGTAGTCTGACAATGGTGTGCCATTTATCAAAAGCTACACCCAATGCTCTGATCATCTAAGTCTATGACCCCATCTTCCCTTGTCCACACACTTCTCTGTTATGGTTCTTTGGTCCCTGAAGGCAGCTGTCCCCAAGAAGGCAGAAAGGGAACAGCTTTTTCCTCCATTGTGATCAGGACAAAAGTGAGTGTGGGTATTAATGGTGTTATAGAGACCAACTGTGGAAATTCTAGATTCTGCTCTGACCCTTGCTGGCAATGATGCCTCCTTCTTTCCCCAACCAGCCTGGAAGGTGGAGTCCTGGGAGTGCCCAGATGATTCAGATTTAATTCCTTTCATGTTTTTTTTTTGAAATTCCTTTTCCATTTTATGTGTGACCTTTCTGGATGAAAAATCTGAATGATAGCAGGAGATTATGGAAAGAAAGATAAAGCTGGAGCCAGTGGAATAGTACACACCAGTTTCGTAACAGTGAAGGAAGAGCAAAGATCCAGGCACCTGAGGAAGAAACATCTAGGAAGGTAAGGGAGGTAGGGAGACCTTAATGATATCTGTCATTCAGAGCTCCCTGAGTCCTCCTTAGAGAATGAAACGACCTGGTCCAAGTCTTTCACCACAGGGATGCTGAGTCTGCCACTCAGCACCTGATCCAAGGAAACAG